TTTTCCGACCTTAACGATTCTATGATTCTCTGCCCCTGCCCCAAGTGATGCAGTGGGGATTGAGAAGAGGGGATGATGGTGACTATAGTCAGTACACAGCAGTTTCTCTTTGCCACTCATTCCTTGTCGCACCTTTCCTCTGCTCCAGCATGGCCTCTCCACGGGCTGCAGCTTCCTTCAGGGTATACCCACCTGCTGTGGCACGGGGTCCTCCAAAGGCTGCCTTGTGGATATCTGCTCTGCCATGGAGCACCTCCTCTCCTCCTGCTCCTCTGACCTTGGTGCTACCTGTTGTTTCTCACTCTTCCTGTTCCCTTCTCCTCCACCTGTCTGGCACTTTTTGGCCTTTATTAAACATGTTTTCACAGAGGCACCACAAACTTTGCTAAGTGGCTCAGCTTTGGCCTATACTGGGCCCACTGCTGAGCTGGCTGTGTCTGGCACAGTGCAGTCCCTGACATCTTCCAATACAGCTCCTGCAGCCTCCACTGCTACGAAAACAACCTTGCCATATACATCCAATATAAGAAGGAATAAACATAATGAGCTATGGCAATTTGAAAAATCCAATTTTCTCTAATACACTAAATAAAATGTCTCAAATTAAATATAATTTTCTTTAAAAGAAATAATGAAAGTTATTAAAAGCAATGATAAGCATTCAAAGTATCTTGGTTTCTAATTTTGTTGCATAGGTAAGTTGATACTTACTCAGGTATGTATCCAAAGGGATACAGTTCTCCAAGTCATCTGTTGGAGATAAAAGCTCACAAATACTTTCAGCTGAGTGGCCTTCAGGGAATTTATGATGATCTCCACATTTCTTCAGTATTTCCACACAGTCTGATCTTCAGATAAATAAAGAAACAGAACTTCATGAACACTACTTGAAGAAAAAAGATCTTGTATGAAAAAGACTTCTTTCCACATTCTTCCCTTCCCCAAATCCAGAACTTTCCCTTTTTGCCTCACAACAAACTGTTTATATATATATAGATGTATATGCTACGTTTTACATACGGGGGAGGACAAATTCGTGACACAAAGACAGGAACTATTGCTTACACTACTCTTCCTCTACTTTGGGCTTGGTGATCTTTACTTTCCATGGCATCACAGCATGTATCTTTCAAGACCGAGCATTTCCTTGATTTACTAATGTCTAATATGGGTTGAATTCTATCTCACTACCTGTACTATTAACTGGTCTCTTTTCTACCCAATCACCTATTTTCAAAATTTATTTTTTTAAAAAATAAACTTCATTTTTTTCAGACCTTTCTGTCAGCTGAAAAATCACCAGTAGGTCCCAAAACCGAAAAAGAGGAACGGTTTTATAGACACCACAGAGAGCAAAAAAAAACCCAACAATAAATCAACTTTACAATGGAATCATATACATCCATCTCATTAACAGGCAAGCATCTTCCATTTACAGTGATGGAGATTCAAGCAATAGCCACTAGGCAAGCTCATATTCCTTCCTTTTTTGCCTTGCCATGTTTTCCTAACATAAGTCAAACACAGCCCTACAGCAGCTTTTAGTTCTCCTTAAAATCCTTAGCAGAACCTCTAAACTGTTCCCCCCCCGCTCCTCAGTACTTACTTGCAGATAATACTTCCTCTCGATCTGCTGTGGCAAGGTTTAATCTGCAGTGAGCAGGCAATTGCCTTCCACATTTCTGGTTGGCATTTTTTAATATCAAGCACGGGTATATTTATAAATGGCATCTTAATACTCCCTTTTTCCCATAGCTTCATGTCATTCATGGCTCCCTGGTCTGACTGAGTATTGCAGCTCCTAAAAAGTTCTGTTGGTCTTAAAAGAAGAAGTTAAGATATGGCACGTATACAAGAAAAAGAAAACATCACGCATTTTACCTTTCACCATACGAATTCTACAACCTTGATATAGTTGTATAAAAGAAATGATTTGTAGTATAAAAGAAATGAATCCTTTCCACAGTTAAGCAAGCCCAAAATCAGTTTGAATTCTGTCTTTACGGAAAATAAGTTCTTTAACACTCAAGGCTGAAACTCCCTTCTCACTCTACCTCTTAGATCAAATATCACTTAAATTTTTCTTACCTGAAGAAAGTTGACTTAAAAGCAAATACCTCAGATAACTTGAATATCTGCGTGAATGTTTCTTGGTGAATCACTTATGCAAGTTGATTTATCATTTATATTTGCCCAGGCTGCATCTATCACATATGTGATTCTACTGCTCATATAACACTCATGCCACTGTATACAATTGCAAAGAAAAGCCAGAGATCTCTAATAGCTAACAAAATTTTAAATGTTTTTTTGAAACACAAACTATTTAATAAATTGCAATTACTAATTCAGACACCACTTTTCAATCATGCATTTTGCCCTATAGAGTACAAAACCACAGAAATATTTCTGAAAGAAAAGGAATTTTGAAAAAGAGTAACATGTAAATTTCACAAGAATTTTTACCTTATTTATAATACACAACATTCCAGTAATCATGGCTTACTTGTCCGTACAGTAAGACAGAGGAATATGCTGCTAATACATGATGACATTTTACAAGTTCATGGGTTAGCTTTTATTCTTCTAAGTTTTCTAATGTCTGTTGTTAAATACATTTCCAAAAGTTTGTTCTAAAGAAAAACTATTAATTTTTAAATTATCTAAAAAAATATTTGCAGAAAGACAGCTACATACAATCTCAAAATAAGCCTGAAAAACATTTTATTTTTTAAATCAAAGCACAGGAATTCCTTTATAAAATATTCAGTGTCTCTCTCCTACCTGTTATTAAAATTAGTGCAGTAAGTAAGATTTCTACAGCCCAGCTGACAAGGTTCTCGTACATCTGCTAAACAGGTCAACATGGAAACTTCAACTGCATTATACTCACAAAAGCGATCAAATTCTTGCCAGCTCTGTGAATTGCCCCAGCTCGTGCTATAAAGTTTAGTGCAGAGCTCTCTGAAAAAAAAATATAGACGAACAGCAGTCATTCAGATATAGCAGAGCCTATCATTTCTTTGCTGATCACAACAGCCTACACTCACTGTAGAAGATTGTGTTACTGCCACAAAGTCTGCAAGAATATCCAAATGTTGTGCTCAAGGCAAATAACCCCATTTCATTGTTTTCTAAGTTTTCCAGTTTTGCTTAAAAATGCTAGCAAATCTTTAAGCTAGTAAGACTGAAAGACTTCAGAATATAAAGCTGCAATATCCAATAAAAATGTAATAGTTGGAAACCTGAACTAATGACTTTGAGGTGAGAATTATCCCAGCTAATTTTACTTCTAATAAATCTAGGTTGACATGATAATGAACAACTTCTAATCCCATCCTTCAACTTCAAATCACACCTTCTTCTCCTGCAGAAATGACTGGCAAGCAAAACACATTTCTTCTTTTGCCCTGATTTTTGAAACGTGTACTGTTTGTTGCTTGTGTTTGAGATGTTTCCTGGTGTCAGCAATATCCAGACCACTTTGTTCACAGCAATATCCTACAAACTACAACTATTCCCATCCCAACTGAAGGTATGGAACTTCACTGTACTATTAAAGTCTACTGCATATTGAAAATGTGAGGGAAAAATCCATTTTTAGAACTCATTGTCAAAGCAAGCAACTAAAAGATATTATACCAACTGCCCTATGCTACAATGTTCTAAGAAATAACATAACTCTAGGGCTCTAATACTAAACTCATTGTAAGATCCTGCTGCATTCAGGATCTGTTGTTTTGTTACTGGAAACTTTGATATAAAAGAAAGTAACAGTTCAAAAATCAATGTTTGAAACTTATTTTGACATGTTGATGCATTAAAAATGCAATGATGATCTATTTTTAAAGTGGACAGATAACCACTCTAAACTAAAAATGCTCCAATTACAGTTATTTGCAAGCATGCAACTATTTGCTGAAAACTTTTTTTTTTTAAATGTCAATAGTTAGTTCCATTATTTAGTTATTAAATAACCTAAGTTATTTTTCATTGACAAAAATCTGAATAGCAGCTAGTAAGGAATACTGCTAAGGTTTTAACATGCAGCAACCAGGTACTTGAGAGTTTGTGCAGTTCATTGTCCCCTTGGCTCTCTTTAGCATCTGGTTAAGGCCTCTTCACCTTGTTGCAATATTGGCTATTACGACCAGAAGTAAGGTATAAGTTTCATTAACTTAGTGTATCTGCTATAATAAGCCAGTGCTAAAAGTAAGAAAAGTGTGATTCCTCTTATGGAACAGTATTTTTTGAGATACAAAGTAAGTATTGGACAGAATGTGACACCCATCTCATTACCTAAATCTGTATTTTTTCTAGGAATTCACAGAACTCTTTATTTGATGTACGTAGCAGGATTTGGGCAAAGGCCTGATATGAGACAACTTCTGAAGCATTTTCACAGTTGGAAATGAGGGCAGGGAGATACTGACCTACATGTGGAAGAATTTGCTTTAGAACAGCAATGGAGCTTAGCTCCATCGAGGCCTGTTGAAGGTGGAGGGTGCACGGTGACTCCTGGGTGAACAGATCTTGAACTCTCAAGAAAACATTGCCAAAGTGGATCCTGAGGGAGAGGCATTGTTTTACAGCCTTCTATTAGTCCATCAACAATTTCAAGCTCTGTTTTCATTGACATTAGAATTCTTTTACAAGCAGTCTGACACGCATAGTCTTCTGCTCTATCACAGCAATACAAACCTGTTAAAAAAATTAAAAATAGTTAATCATCAAGCATATAACAACAACGAAGATGCAAGCCCTCAGAGGAAAAGTGCTCTAAGGAGGCTTCCGCCCCCCCCCAAATAATCTCAAATAACATTGCTTCTTTTAAATGCAAACAGAATCAACTCTGGGAAAAAACCCAGTATGTAGAATTAAAAAAATAAATAAAAATCAATAATGCATCTACAAACAGAAGTTATCATTATATAAATTTATACAATTACAATTACAATATAGAAATACATTAATACAATTTATACAATCGACTTATACAATAACACATTTTATATAAAAAGTGCATACAATCCTCAAACATTTTCAGTATTTTTTATAACTTTCAGTAAAGAAGGATCTTTTATACTTACTATCTGTAGGATTTCTCATTGGATATGACTGTGTATAGTTGTTCACACAGTGTATAAGCTGAGGGCTAATAGATGCACAGTAATTTTCAACTGCTTTAATTTGTGAAGGACCAGGAGAAGAGTCTGTCCGAAAAATTGCTTGACAATATTCCCGACAGTTTGTATGATGACCTGCATAACTGCAACAGACTGACCCCACTGGGGAAACAAACAAACAAACAACAGAATATCTATGGGTTCCTACACAGAGAAATGAAGAAATGAGCATGTCTGTACCACACACAATGATGCTCAAGGTATTACTGTGAAAAAATTGAAGAAATTCTTCTATGCTCTATGAAAATAATCTCTGTCTACAGAATGACTGGGAATATCTGTAACTAGCCAAATTATATTTGTTTGTTTGGCTGGAGAAAAAAGTCCCTAAAGCTGACTTGAAGTCGAGTTCGAGACACCAGCAAGCCAGCTGAATTTTATCTTCAGTTGTTTTTTTCTTATTTAAGGTAACCAGAATTGTCTCATATTTGAATTATTAGACAAATATTAATAGTAAACAAATAAATATGAGAGTAGTATCCTAAAACTCATTCAAAAAAATAGACAGATGGTGTCATGATTCACCCATTGTTGATATGTTATTAAATATACAGTTCTTGAGAAATATTTTTACTAAAATCAATTCTGAGACACTGATTTCATTTTATATAGACATAACATCAGGCAACAAAACACTTGCATGGTGCAAGATTTCATCTATGCATTTAATTCTGTTACTTAACACTCATCAAATGAACAAAGCAGAAGGAAAAAATGAGCTTCTAAGCAATTATCAAAATAGGACAGAAAACACAAATACAGATACATAAATTAAAACCTGGTATAAATTACACGAACAGCCCAATCCCATTATCACTTGAGCAAGAAAATTTATGCATGTGATTTGTCCTTCTATGGAACTGAATCCATATGATTTGTGTATATGTACACCCACAGAATTTCTTACATTTTAGAGAAAAAATGATAGAATGATATAAAAAAAACCCCAAAAGACAAACTATTCATTACATACTTACTTTCATTTCTGTTAATACAACTAAAGAGAGCATTCTGAAATCAAAACAAAAACAGTGTTACAAGCCAGAAAACTTCAAATAAATATTTAAGTGTCCAGTCATTTCTTATAATGAGCTAATAAATCTAACTTTGTTATTATTTGTTCCAATTAGATTGGATTAAAACAAGAACACTATACAAAAACACTGAAAGTAGGAAAGTGAAAGATCAGGGGTCACCTGAGTTCTCTGTGCACTCATAATAAAATAGATAAATATTCAAGCAAGTAAAAAGGAAGACTTTCCTGGATGAACTTAGAAACAGCATGCTCTAATAGGATGTTCCAAAATGTTTTTTTTAAATGACAATAATTTAAAAGATTCTCTGTGAAAAAAAGAACTCTGCACAGATGCACACATGCAAATAGAAAATCTCAACAAACTAACTCAACAACAATATACTTTAAAAGCTAAAACATGCTATCAACTTCCTCAAACTGCAGCCAAAAGATACAGTTGGGGGATATACAACATACTAAATGACAGAAGACGGGAAACACATACACCCTGCTGTTTTGTTTCAGAGGACTCCACAGAGCAACCATAGGATGGTTTGGGTAGGAAGGGACTTTCAATGGTCATCTAGTCCAACCCCCTGCCAAAGGCAGGGACATCTTCAACTAGATCAGGTTGCTCAGAGCCCCGTCCAACCTGGCCTTGAATGTTTCCAGGGATGGGGCATCTACCACCTCTCTGCGCAACCTGTTCCAGTGTTTCACCACCCTCATTGTAAAAAATTTCCTCCTTATAGCTA